TCGGCCTCCTCTGCCGCGTTGGGGTCTGGAACAGCCTCGCCACCCTCAGGAATGGTGGTTTGTTCTGCGTTTTCGTTCCACGCTGGGTTCTGGGCACCAGCATCCCATCCGGCTTGTTTTTCTTCTTCTTTTGCCAAGGCTTCTCCGGCCTTTTCGTCGGCCCATTCGCCGTCGCCGGTGTTTTCACCCCATCCATGTCCCTCTTGTTTTGGGTGGTTGCTGGTCTTTGGTCAGCTTGGGGAAAAGAGATACGTGCTTCAGCGCACTTACGCTATGCCAGTGCGGCTGTGGCGATCACCACCTCGACGAGGACCACGTGGACCACGACCATAGCGTTGCACACCTGGGCCTCGATCGCGGCCAGGACGGTTGCCATAGCCATCCTCACCACCGCCCTCGGTGGGTTGATCACGGTTATAGCCTCTGCCCGTAGCTCTGTTGCGGAAAGCTTGATGGAGAGTCAGCGTTTTGTTATATTTCCCTTTCAATTGATGAGTTGTGTATACCTGCTTCATTATCGTTGAAACCACCTCCACGATGGCCACCTCGACCGCGAGTAGCTACGTTTGCACGTTCGGTTGTAGCAGCTGGAGCCTCTTTGGGCGCTTCGCGTTTACCATGACGAGCGACTGGCTTGTCAATGGCCTTTGTAGGTGGCTCAGGTTCGCGGTCAGAATCCTGGTCCGAGGTATTCCCTAAATCATCAAAATCAATCGCGTGTAATCCAATGGCGCAGGCAGAGACTCATACCCAACAGCTCGTAGAGGTTCTAGAGAGATTCAAGTCAGCGATTGAACGACGATTATGATGGGTAAGCGGGAAGCTCATTTTCAGCTGATGCTCACCTTGCTCTTGACGTCCGCCATGACGTTTCCTCTCGAGCGCCTTCCGTGAAGGCTTCCTGTTAATGAAACCCCAACTTGAGATGAAGGAGGTTGAGACGCCCGACCAAGACAACGTCCTCGACTACCACGTAGAAGGACCTTGTCAAGTCGAGATGGAGTTGAGTCTGATTGAGCAGTGGTGAAATTCAAACCTGAACCTCGGACGCAGAGCGAAATCATCATGCGCAGATTTCGCAACAGACCAGTTAGGACGCTAACCACATTTGGACAGATCTTGGCATTTCTTAGGGCTAGGGCATGATTCTTGGTTGGCAACGGAGCAAACTGGCTGCTGGCTGCCCGTGGGGTAAGGAATTGAGCAACAAGCCAGTAGAGCAAGCATTATGAATTTATTTTTAACGTTGGTGCAAGAGGTATCTACAAATAAACAGCAGACTTGCCGTAATCATCAATTTGCGTGTGGCTCAGAAACAGAAACTTGGGCATACACGCAAAACTCCTGTCACTTCAGCCTCATACCCCTCCAGCTGGGGTAAGGCAAATACACCGTCGCTAATGCCCATTTTGAGAGTGCTCATAAAGTCTCATGCTCGGATAACAATGTGGAAATGCATTTCGTGGTAGGATATCCCACATTTTCACCTTCTTGAGTGTGTAGGTGGATAGGGGTAAGGATTAGGAAAATGCATGCTGGCAGTCAGTCCGAAGGGGTCAGCGTCCAGCATTGGGTCGTATGGATCAATCATGCCGCCGCCGCTGTCACTAGCCGCGCTAGTGGTCGTCGGAGGCGAGGCTTGCATGCCCATGGACATGCCTGCTGTCGTGGTCGTAGGTGGTAGGCGAAAGTTGGGGATGAAGCTATCGGTATCGACGTCGTCGGCATCTATATCGTCCATGATACTAGCTTGCGCATCGTACTCCTGCTCTGTACTCACGGAATCAGTCTAGGACGAACAAAGCTCCACGTGCAGAAGAGGGGGGTAAAGGAACGGGTCAGCTTGCCGAGTTGAGTGTAGTGTTTCTGAAACGAGGCTGGATAGTAGCTCTCGTGTTGACTGCGTGGAGGATAAGCTTGTGTTGTACTTGGCCCAGACATGGCATGTCCTTGATGCCTAGGCTGCGCAAGAAACGAGCTGCGATGCGGCGGCGGTAGAGTTCGGCCCTGCAGCTGCTGTTGAGGTTGCTGAGTGGCCATCTCCATCGCGGGTGAGGTCATCCCACCTGGTAATGCAAAACCAGGTGATCTTGCTGTCGAGGGTGAGGAGTGTTGTGAGGGAGGGGTGGGCTGTGCTGTGGGTGAGCCTGCGAAATTTCGTTTGCCCCCAACAAGGGGAGGAGGATTTACAGTCTGGATTGGAGGTGCCATTGTTGTTCGCGGTCTCGTTTGGTGCCTGCTGAGCATGGCCTTTTGCATCGGCGACGCTTGCCCTGTCATGGGAGGGGCGCGATGTGGTCGAAGGGTTGGACTCCCTTTGAGCGCCAGCTCGGCCTGGACATCGATACCTGGCAGGAATGAGTCAAAAGATTGGACTTCCACGCGCAAAGGGTAGAGCAGCATGTACCTTTCTCAAGCAGAATCCGTTCCAGTAGCGAATTCTTGTACCGCAACATTAGACACTCATCTGCAGCTGCACGATGGCTCTGTTGCAGATTCTGGAGCGTTTCCTCATGGTGCTGAATAGTGGTCTCCAGTTGTTTGATATACTCAGTCCGTCGTTCGCGGAAAGCCGCTTGGGCTTGCCGATTCCGTTGTTTGCGTTCCTCTGAGGTCGCATAAATCTGTGCGATCAGGTGAGTCCAGCGGTCCAGTCTCCATTCTAGTCATGCACTTACAGGTTTGCGACCTCCCTTGCGCTTTGGCGCAGGAGCAGGCTCCTTAGACGAATGAACTTCGTCGCCTCCTGCCTCGTCTGTTGGCTCCGGGGTCGAGGCTGAACAGGAAGAATATCGGTCACCACTCGACTCCCGTTTTGGCACCACAGCGTCGGGTAGCGTGACGTCGGTGTCTGCGACAGAGCCCATTCCTTCTCCACGCAATCAACCGAGTCTAATGCAATGTTCCTGGCATAAGCGCCGATAAGGGTACTGATTGTCGAGATACGCGACCGGGGTAAACAACAATACACGCGCGCGGCGTAAGGTGAGCTGATATCTAACACGTAAAACAGACAGATAGTTGACAACAAGAAACAGAGATAAGAGACGAAGGTGCAATGAACAGCCCGGAGATGGAACGGAAGTGAGGTAATGAAATGAGCTAACAGATTTTTCACGGAAGGGAGGAGCAGGGCGGGATGGTGTGGGAGGCAAAAGCAGGGCTTATGAAAATCGATGCAAAAAACAATCCCAGAGTGGCAGTTCCGGTCTTGTTTTCCCGTGGGTCGCGCCCTTGTGAACCCCAACTCAACTAGATCAAGCCATGAAATGTGTGAGCTTCGGGCTGGCACCAAAGCAAAAAAGCTGGGGTGGACCACATCCGAGATGGCAGAGAGAATGCTCAAACAGGTAAGTTTGTTGGAACTAGAAGGTGAGGAGAACCAGACTGCCAGAAGATCGTTGCGCCATCCCCTTCTCTAATGAGGCGGTCAGTCTGGGCAGGTGGATAGCACGGAAAATATTCCAGCGCTATAGGTTGACCTCAAGAGTAGGCGAGGCAGGGGAATTACTCGTGCTTGGTAGGGATGCCATGTTTTCTCCTCCAGAGAGGGTCTCCCACGAGAACAGAAAAGTTTTTTTCTTGGTTGTCAAAGCCGCGGAGGAGAATGGAAACGGAGAGGTGAAGCAAGGAGTGGGATTGGAGCGAAGCCTGCCACGCACCACGTGGGAAAAAATTTTCACGCCGTGGATTCCATGCGCGGGAACCAATGATAGGAGAGACTTGCGCAAACTGTGCCCTAAAGAAGTCTAGCGGACGTCGCTAGTCATCTAACAGGGAAAGTGAAACAAGGCTGATCCAACGTCAGGCGAGCGCCGGGCTGCGTCAGATGAGCCTAATTCAACCAACTGGAGGGCCAGGCAAGCCTGGCAGCCCAACCTTCCAGCTTCCGGGGTCCCTGAGAACCTGCCCAAGGTGTCCCTAGCTTGCTTCCCCCGCTTTTCCAGTGTCGTCTTTCTCCGTGGACCTAAGCTGCATCCAGACCAGGCACCAGGGAAGATGGCCTCCGTAAAGCTCATAGCAGCCAAGATGGCCTCAGCTCGAACCTCAACCAGCATTGCCAGCATCATTTCTGGACCCTTTCTCGAATCTCGAGTTGACAACTTCTGCACACCCTCAGGGGTTATCAGATCTGCGATTGCACTCGCCCAAGCCTCAGGCGTCATTCACCGCCACCTGTGCACATGACCTGGGGGGACGGATCGTAGACCAAGGTTAACCACCGGCAAATCACATGGCCGATGCGTCGTCAACCCGAGCTTCCGAGCCTTTTGACTCCTTCCCTCCAGAGGAGATACCGAGTTAGTCTAAAGTGGCAAGAGGTGGTGTTGAATATGCGGGGTTTTGGGCGTAGCCATGTGTGCTTGTGCGTGAAAGGGTAGAGAGAATCCCGATGCAGATCCAGCCGTGCCAGCGAGCACTTGTTGAAAGGACATTGCTTAGAGACCACAATGAGCGACCCGAATGGGCAATGGCTTCCTGATGCTCGTATGCCAGCGCGCACAGGCAGGCGCACACCTGGTTGCTGTCCCGTACCATCGACTCAAGAAGGTGCAAGGGGTGGGCGCGCCTCCTTTCACAATGCCCCCTCCCGTCAAATCTCGCAACTTGTCAACCCTCGAAAGCCGAAAGAGAATCTTGTAGTTCCACACTCATTTGTTTGTTTTTGACCCCGGGCCTGCTACTGAAGGATACTATGAAACCTCTTTAGTCGTATGACTAGCAAATGACAGGATCGATCGAAACACAATGGAGCATCGGACAGCCAAAGGTGGGTTGACACGAATCATTTCGCCTAGCCGTCTTGAACAGGCTTCGCTCACAAGGACTCAGATGCCTCGAAGCGATTTCATCTGCCCAAGCGAATGTCCACGGATGATGGAAAGCTAGCCCGATTCCCACTCGCTTCAATGGAGGCATTCACTCGCCCCATCTCTGCCCTAGCCCGGCATCGAGTCCATCAGCTCTCAGAAATACGAGAAGTGTCCAGCTCCTCGAAAATGGCAAAACATGGCTATCCAGTACAGGAATGGAATGACGGTTGCATAGACAGACCCACAACCCCCACAGCTCAAGCCGACGCGCTCTCACATACTACATCATCCGAATATCTTACACCAACCGCGTTTCGTTCCCACGACAAAAATAATACCACAGGCCTGGGAACCCGTGCGACAAGCGCAGTCAGCTTGCCCCATAGACCCGTCCCCGAGCGCACGTCGTCGGCGAGCATTCTGTCGCGGGGTCTAGGTGGACCTGTGCAGGCATCGATGCGCGAATTGCCGACATGGAGAATCTCAGAATTGGATGGCCTGGACACACTGGTCGACGATAAAGGTCGAGCCGGGTCTCCGGTTCGCCGATCAATCGGTCGCGCAGCCCAGTCATCTGAGGTCCTCCGACCTGCCCTTGCACGCACCTTCATTCGTACCTCGCCTCCTCATGAAATTCTGGACCATGGCAGCAGTCGTCACCCCCGAGTAGAGCTTTCAATCAGCCTTCCCTCGCCACTCTTTGTGGGAGGTGGCACAGTAGAAGGACAACTCACCATTCAAGTGGATGGCGGGCAGGCAAGAAAGCCAAAGATGAAGCCAATCTACCTCTCCAAAGCTTGCGTTGATGTCATTGGCGTCGAAGAAATCAACGACGGCCGACGCTGGATATTTTTGTCGCTTGCAACAGAGCTATTCGATCATGAAAATCCACCTCCACCTTCCCTGGTCACGTCGCAGACCCCGGAACCTGGTGCAGATCTGTGCTGGGAGATGAAGTCTGCTACGTCGGTCGTTCCCTTCTGCGTCAACCTGCCCTTGAAGCTCGGGCCCCCTCCGTACTCGTCCAGGCAAGCTTCTATCCGGTACCTACTGTGTCCTTCGATTGTGGTCAAGGCTGGAGACAAGAGAACTGTGATCAGACAGACATAGAATGTTCAGATGCTCACCGTTCATGACCCAGAGAAAGCGCTGGCCAGTCTAGCCAGTCCTCTGTTGGCCGCGGATATACTGTACCTGGCAAGAGAGCCTGATGTCCAAACGGTGAAGCTGACCGCTGGCCTTCACCGCCAAACATGGGTCAATGGCGCCTTGATCTTTATTGACGTCCACGTGGCGAACAACACGGCAAAATCGGTCAAGAAAATCGAGGTTCAATTGGAGAAGACAACATTGTGGTATACGCATGCTCCAGCTGGAACCGCAGAGAAGAGCGCAAATTACCTCCGTCTTCCGAAACGGACAGACGCCGAGGTGGTGAGTGGCACCACACTGAAGAAGTCAAACACTTGGAAAGGAGTACCCTCTCATTCTTCAGACGTTCGCACCATCGAGCTGGAAGCACCGCGGGGACATGTTACAATCAGCACTGGGAGGTATTTCGAAGTTCGATATTTCGTCAACGTCGTTGTGACGGTGAAAATGTTCAAGACAGTGGCCGTCCAGCTCCCTGTAACAATCATACCGATCAACTCATTGGACATTTTACCCAATTCCCTCGCGCAGGTCGCCGCTTCGATCGAAGCCAAGAGGTCTAAAACAGTCCCGGCACCGCCTCCTGGTCCTAGCCATGCAGCACACCACCAGGGCCAAGCTTTTGCAGCTCCAATCCGACAGTCGGCCGAATATGCGAGACAAGAAAGATCACTGGCCCAGAATGACTTGGAAAGCCTAGCAGATGACATTGACAGGTCTCCTCGGCGACTAGCGCATATCCACAAGCATTGCAGAGGAGGTCTTTCTGGTACAACCACAGACGAGAATGTCGCTCCTGGACGCCCAAGCGTGGCATCGTCATCACACCACCATCTCCACAGACATGCGAGCTGTTACCACTGTCAGATCACGGCCGAGAATTGCTCGCCAGCCAAACCAGGGGGTCCCCGCTTGCCCCGACTCCAAGTCTCGACGTCTGGGCTAGGATTTTCAGAGTCAGAGTTTGAGATACCTCCTGATTCGCCACCTCGAAAAGTCATGCTGAGTGAGCAGGAGCGAGGCATGATCAATCGCCAGAAAGAGCTCCAGAGTCGACAACAACGGATTCAGGGGATGCCAAAGAAAGCGAATAGGGACATGAGACGAGACGTCGACGTCCGCGCATCGAAGGATCAGCTCAGCTATACCAACGTTGTGGCGGATCCAGCAGCTGGTCCAAAACAAAGTGAGTTTGGAAATCTCAGCCCTGGAGTCAGGAAAAAGGGCGAGGGCCCGGCATTTCCCAGGCCGCCAGTAACATCCAACGGATCTGCTGTCACCAGATCAAGGTCCAAGACGAACCCCGAGGGATCGAGATATCGACCTAGTATCAGCAAACCTCGGCGCAAATCAAGCACAGATAGGCACGACCGTATTCGAGCTTCGGTCGACGGGCCAGTATTCTCAGCTATCCCTCGCAAATTTAGCAAGGACCTGACACAGCGGGGGAGCTTGGATCACTTGTTCTGAATTGTGCGAGGAGTGATCGATAGGAAATTCGCGGGAACAAAGGCATTCTACTTTCACCCAGGGCACGAGTGGACGTAGTGGGTTTGAAAGCAGAGTATAGATTGATGGTATGATATGAAGCACCTGCCAACGACTTGTATAGCATGTACATTAGGCATTAGGATGACAGCAATATAATGGGGCATACAGCCTTGCGCCATTGAGGCAGTGGGTATGATTGGCCAGCCTGTTGGCCGAGGTTGGTCTCGGGCCATGGCTCAGCCTCGTCCACTTCCCCATATTAGCTGCGAGTCAGCGCCGATCGTGTCGTGATGATTGTATTGGACAAGTACTGAGGTTCTGGTAGTTCATTGGTGCCTCGGGCTTGTCCTCGGTAGATGGAGACTGAGTGAGCCGCGAGATATACCGTCAATTGACATGAGAGAATCAAGAGCCTCCCGTGAAACCTTGTCATTGAACGACAGACCTTGACCTCGACCTTGATCTTGACGCGCTACATACGCCCATCTCCTCCCAAACAGCAGGGGATCCTCGAAGAAGTCTCGATTTGAGAAGGACGGGAGATCCAACTGGACAAAGTATTGAAAATCCGCAGTACTTTTGAGAAACCTGGGATCAGCAGAGAGGCATGGCGGCCATCAAGGACTTTGACAGCCTGTTCAGGCTGGATGGCAAGATTGCCGTCGTTACTGGCGGTACGTTGGACTGATTTCTGTTCATCACTTGATCACTTTGTCTTTTGTTGATTCTGCTCCCATTCCACCCCTCCATCCACTCTTTACTCGATCGGCGCTTCTTCTAACAAGAAAACAAGGTTCCCGCGGCATCGGCCTGTACTGCGCAACGGCCTTCCTCCAGGCCGGCTGCTCCAAGGTGATCATCACGGCGCGCAACGCCGAGAACCTTGCGCAGGCGGCCGCGCAGCTCAACGCGCTGCCCAACATCCGCGGCAGGGCCGTCAGCATCCCGGCCAACGTCGGCCACACGGACCAGATCGAGCAGTTTGTGCGGGATGTGCAGGCCGAGATCGAGCGCGACGAGAGGCCCGGCCGCGGGTTGGACATTCTCGTGGCCAACGCGGCGGCGAGCTGGGGCGGGCCGTTCGAGTCGTTTGAGGACTGGAAGAGCATCAAGACGCTCGACTTGAACGTCAGGGGCGTGTTTAATCTGTGCAGGCTGTATGTTGTTTTCTCTCCTTTTTTTTTTCCTTCTCTTCTGTGTTGGTATTGTTGTGCGTGGCACTTTATTATTGTCTCCGTCACATTACATCACATCACATCACATCACGATCCTTGAGCAATGGACAACTGAATAAGGAGAGGGATAAATCCCGCTAACTTATTGGGTTTTCCTCCCATGCGCACAGAATGGTCCCATTACTCTCCAGCGCAGCCACGCGCGCCGACCCGTCGCGGATCCTGATCACGTCGTCGGTGGGGGGCATCGTGGTGCCGCACGTCGGCGAGCGCGGGGCCATCATGTACTCGGTGTCCAAGGCGGCGGCGCACCACCTGGGGCGCAACCTCGCGCTGGAGCTGGTGCCCAAGAACATCACCACCAACGTCATCGCCCCGGGCTTCTTCCCCAGCCGCCTGGCGAACCCGCAGATCGACTTTTTGGGCGGCGAGGACGTCGTCGGCAGCCAGAACCCCATGGGCCGTCTGGGCCGCCCGGACGACATCGCCGGCCTCGTCGTCTTCCTGTGCAGTCGCGCGGGGAGCTACGTCAACGGAGAGGACATCTCGCTCGACGGCGGCGCCAGGTTGAGGTCCGGCACCCACGCGGGGACCTTGGACGCGAGGGGCAAGGCGGCGAGCGGTAACTTGTAAAGACGAAAATCAAGAGGAAGGATAGAGAAAGAGTTTGATATCTGGGGAAGGAAGAAAAGGGGCAAGGGAGAGAGTTTTTAAGGGGGGGGGGGGGGGGGGGGGAGAGATTTCGATAGAGTGGCTGAAAGTCAAGGGCGTATTGATGACTGAAGCCCCAACACTCGATTTCATGATCGTGCAAGGTTCACGCAGAGGACATGACTGACTTGGTCTGTGTGTGTAGGTGTGTGTGTATGTGTTTCTTGATCCCATTGCCCGGCACTGTAGCCCCGTGTTTCTCTCCAGGAATATGACAAATTGAGGAACGTCCCAAGCAAAAGGGCAACCAGCGCCTGTCTGACTCCCTCCCTTATCTGTCTGTCTGTCTGTCGTCTGCCACTTGGCTTTCTTCGTGTTCGAGCCACCACCAACGTCCATCACTGCGCGCGCTGGAGAGTTGCAAGACAAAACTCATAAATCAAACAACGCGTTCGTTCTTCCTCCCCTTTTTTTCTGACTGTGGTTACCCTGCCAGGTTAGCTGACCTCCTCCCAAAATCCCGCGGGCTCTTTCACCAGCACCAGACTCGCTCCGATCCCTTCACTGTCCAGGGCGATCTCGTCAACCTCATCCTCGCCCTTGGCTTCAGCGAACAGCCTCACTTCTCGGATCCCCACTCCCCTCTCTTTCAGCCACGCGTCATCCTCTTGATCTCTCGGCGCCCGGATCACCACCCCAACCCTGCCTCTCAGGCGCTTCATGGCCTCCTCGTCGGGATTCGGCGTGCTGAGCAAAAAGCTCACGCTCGTGGTCGGACGATACCTGTAGCCCCCCTGGACTTTCGGTTTCGTGCCCAGCACCGAGGTGTACAGGCGTATGTAGCTGTCAATCTTGTCCTCAGGAACGAGCACCTCGACCCAGAGGATCCCTCTCGCCCCGCAAGGGTGCGTCTCGGATATCTCTTTCTCGGCGTACGGCACTCTTAAGCTCCGGTCCGTCACATCGTGGCAGAAGAATGGCGTGTCGAGTCGTCCCTTGGGGAAGTATTTTTCGAGAGGTTTTGGCACATTCTCCGCGGTGTCGTCCAGGAGTGGTTTTGTGACGTGCCACTGGACGTCTTGGCCGTCTTTTCGCTTCCGGCCGCCAGCAAGGGGAGGTCGAAACCGCACACCCAGTCCTCCGTCACCAGCGTCGACTCTAGGTACTGGGACCTCATCCGTTGACGAGGACTGAGCAGGAGAAGGCTGTTCCAGTCTCGACTCTAAGCGCCGCGTCACTTCATCAAAGGCGTCCTGAGCAGACGAAGGGGTTGTAAGTGCAAAGTCAATCAGACCGGGTGATTTTGGTGCCCAATCGAAGAATTCTTTGGGTTCCGTGATCCAGTTTATCAGCTCGATGTAAGTACCATCGGGGAAGATGATGAGTTTGTTCCGGGAGGAGCCACCTTCACACAAGGGGTGTTAGACGCTCGTTCGGACCGCAAAAGAACAGGATGAGGACTAGAGTAAAGACGAGAAACGACACTCAGGTCTGAGTCCTTCATCGGTCTGCTGCTCTCAAGGTTTCCACCCTCTCTGATCGATACACGTACCGGCATGTGTCCCGCCCTCAATGATGGTAAAATTGTCACTCAGCCACGACGGCGGATTCTCGAAGTCCGGTGTATCAAGTAGCAGAATAACATGGTCGAAACTATAAGACGAAATCGTTTCGCCCACCATACCGCCGGTACCAGCCACTGGCGAAGTGCGACACGGGAAGTAATGGAGAATGAGGCTGCCAACAAGTGACTGTAGTGAGAATGGGCTTCCACGAGGCTTTCCGTCAGTTGCCGATCCGAGGTTTGTTGTCGCTTGTATGCCAGGTGTAGTCAGGGAGATGGCCGAAGACCAGGGTCAAGAGAAACCTGAGCACCTGTAGGTATGTTAACCATTGCATTCCAGGATTGATAAGGTGTTCGCAGACCTACAAGGTCGGTCGAACCACTGCTTGATAGACCAGACGTTTTCAGCTGAAACCAAACAGGGAAAGTGAAGGAATGTTCTGCAGATCCCGGACAACTTCAATATTCGCACCAACTTCTTACTTTAGGCAATGATCCCTTGAAAGAACAGGTTGGAGACGAGGCGTTTCCAGAGACAAGGATGAATAGAATGAGTCACGATCTGACGATCTGCTCATGTCACCCGTTTGTCGTTTGGGGGAACCGCGGAATGATACAGAATACGAGGATTGCGAAATCGGGCAAATGTGACAAACCCAGCAAACAGCATCTAGGCGTGTTTGGTGTGTTTGGCGAGGCTGGATATCATCTACCATGCAGCAGGAAAGAAGAGAGAGGGTCAGAAAGACGAAGGCAGCAATGCGGATTTTATACCATGAAATTCATCTCTTCCATTTGCACAAGGCCATCCATAGCGGACTACTGCGATAGAGAATAGCGCCCCCACTGCGAGGAGATGAAGCACCTCTCCATCCATCGAGCGGGCTTGCTCTCTCCTTGACAAGCTGAGAAGTCGTTCTCGTCTTGTGTCTTGCAGTTCTGCGTCTTCATCCCACTTTCTCCCAATATGTTTGCATCTCACCAGAGCGTAGCTCCCAATCCTCCGCTCGGCGACTTACAAGGCATCCAACTTTTGCAATTGGTCGCCATTTGGGACACCCACACCTGCAGTCGCCGCAAAACACCATCGTGCATTCGTGTAGATCGGAGCCATCGATGTCGAAATCTGTCCCTGCAATCATCCCTCTATTGGTTTGAAGCAACCGTGTCTCACCCTCTACCTCATAACCCCCAAGATATTGGTCGTACTGTACAATAGTAGTTCGTGGACTCCATCAAACACCATCGCAAAATGAGAAGCAATGTGCTCGCATATAACGGCACCTTTCTATCCATATCCTACTCCTTGGTCGTCACCGACTGCTGCTTATTCTGCAGCTTGACGTTTGTTGTAGAGGGAGGTGTATCATCAGGTTTGTTGGTCGCGTTGGAGAGACTGATGGCGATTTTGCGAGGTTTTCGACCATCGACGTGATTCTCCGTCTCAGTATTACTCGTTGATATCATGCTATTCTCGCCGCTTGCCTGCCTCGATCGCAAAAATCCCTTTTTTCGACGTAGTGCGCCTTGCGAGGACAGGCTGGAACTGCTGGATGCCGAGTTTCTGCGTTTGGGCCCTCCAGAAAGCT